TAATTCCATACTCTTCCTTAAGAAATTTGGTATGGTTGCGGAGTCATTGAAGTTGCATGGCTTGTAATGAGAATCAAATTCAAAAATGAAATATGGTATGCGGCCTTCTCAAGTTAGTTCTCCACCAGTGACATGGTATTTGACTACTACTGACCTTTTTTGAGCCTACCATCTTACAGCTCCAAGCAAATTTAAATCAGATTTTCTTGTAAAAAACAAGAAATGAACAAATTAACCACCAAGACTTTATCCCACTCTTCTGAAGCTCACTGAAAATGAATGCAAAAAAAAAAAAAAACAAACAAAAAAATTCCAGTTTTAGGCTTCAGTTCCCCTTTAAGCGTTTTCAAAGACACTGACCTGGAAATGGTCCATTTCCAGGAGGTAGGAACAAAGTTCCACGTACCCTCCCCTCTCTAACAGGAATTCTCCTCACTCCTTCAGCCATGTACATTTTCTCCAATTCTGAGCTCACAATTGGCTGTAAACTGTTTTTAGCTAAACTATTCACAAATCCATCCTCTGGTGACAGATGTCCATCAAAACAGTTCAGCTGAATTGAGTAAGGTTTGGTGACATCTTTCTTTGAAAGTCGCAGTCCTTTTCTCTGACCAGGAACCTGTGTCATGCTCCACAGAAATCCCATTTGTTCAACTCCCACATAGGAGCCACCATGCGAAGTGTCATTTGAGTTATCAATGTTTCCTTAGGAGTGAAATAAAAGTGGTAACACATACTACATCCAAGTTTTGAATGATGTAATTTAAAAGCTTCAATTAAGGTAAGATGCAAGAAAACAATATCATATTCTTTGTTTGCATGTGACGTCGGCATAAATTAAAAAAACCGGGGTCAGCCATGTTGGGGGATAACCACGCGTAACAATCCGTGTAACTTATAGCTGTCTGAAGTGTATGTTGAAGGTGTTACGCAAATACTTGTCAATGTCATGCACTCTAAATAGCTGTCAATACTTCTAATTAGGCATGCCAATGTAGACTATTTTAAGACTTGTGCTGTAGTTTGGATTGTAATATATTTTGTGTGAACGGTAAATTTTTTTTTGTTGATACTACACCACCACGTGCTTTGCAGAAGCTGATCGTTTTACAGTTTTAGTTTCCCCTCTTATCATGCCACAACTCTGTGTTGTGTTTGGTTGTTTTGAATTTGGTTGTGTTACATGTATGAACAAGCAAGCAATTGAAAATTAATTATTGTTTAAGCTTTCAAGGCTGTATGTTTCTTTTGTATTAATAATTTTAGCATCTTGGCGCATACGCTATAGTTTAGTTTGAGATTCAGCTAATTACTGGTACTTGTGGGATTGATGCTGTATTTTCTAGATATTGATAATAACAACACAAACTGGGGGATAACCATGCTCATACTTTGCGGAAGCCGGTATCATTTGGTTGGTAAAGGCAAAACCAGGCGAGTGTCTGGCTCCTATTGACAAAGCTGCCATAGTGTGCTCTATATGAACTTAATATGAAAATATATGAACTTCATATATTCATTGTATCTCATAGTGTGCTATGTAGTCACCTATTTAACAGAGTCCATTGTATCATTTGATCGAAGTGAACTTACATCCAGTTTGATTCCAGGTACTTTATGCACAATTTTTCATCTAAAGGCCTTAGAGATGTAGTTAAGGCTAGCCATAATTTGTCATTAAAGAACTTCAGTAATTCTCAAGTTGACTAAAAACAACTTTAACGTACACCATTGACAAGCAACATTTGTTTAGTTTGTGTCACAGATGCTAGTCATTAATAGATACCTATATGACAAACAACCATAAAGTTCAGCTAGCATTTTGACAAAGAAAGGAGCACGCCCAAAGTAATATTTTGGTGGTCGTGGTACGATTGAATAACAATGACATTTCAATCATGATTGCTCAGTTAATTTTTTCTTTAAAAAGTTGGACAGATCTAGTCTCCTAAAGGCTCTTCTTTCAACTTCAAGCATGACATATGATTCCATTTTATCTTGAACAAATCATTGTCACAGCCAATTAATGTGCT